GCGGGCGGCCGCCCAGCTCCCCTTTGAAGTCCCTGCCGTTATAATTTGGCCGGGTTTTAGGCCCGGGAGCTGCCAGCCCACTTCATAATAAAGTTCGTTTTAAGGAGCATCTCTCATTCCAGCGCGTCACGAAACGCCTTAGCGATCTTACTAGTAGTTACAGAATTAAACGCCACATCCGAGGGCAGCGGGGCCCGCCGGACCGCCGCCGAGCTGTCGGCAGCGGGGACGCGGGCTGCCGGCGGGACAGAGGTGGTGGCATCTTGCTGAGGGGCATCCCAGGCGACAGCCTTCACCAGGCTTTTCTCAGCTTGGGCCACCACCACGTACGCTCATTCCCTCGCACCCAGACCTGTGACACCGAACCGTAGTTAAGGTCACAGCTGTCGGGGGAGCGGATGGAAAAGAAGGAACGGGCTGGTTTTCTGACCGCTTGTCCGGTGCAGGTGAAGGGAACGCTGGGGGTTGAGGATGTCAGACTCCCTCCGTGAGTGATTCGTTATAAGGCTGATCGCTGAGCTGTCAGACTGCTTCTTAAGTATTACTTATGGTTCTGTATTTATCCTGCAATATTTTTAGCTCTTTAAAAAAAAAAAAAAGCTGTAGCTGGGACATTTGTTGCTTCCTCCTCTCTCCCTTCTCTCCCTCATCTAGACCTAGTAACACAAAATCGTACTGTCAGATTTACTGGTTATTAAAATGACACTCTAAAAAGTTCTTTTCTTGCCCACACAGTTTTAGCAGAGCTCTTAATTGTGAAAGCAGAGTATATCATCATCATGTGACACGATAGAGGTGTCAGCAATGCTGTGGTGGCAATCAGATTGCAGTAGGTAAATGTACGAAACCACACACTGTACACCTTAAACATGATGTTAACGGGTCAGTGACATCTCAGTTGGTTTTCATTGTAAAGCGTATAAAGAAAGTATCAGAATGGTTTGTAATTTGGTGGAACTATGGGCTATATTTCTGAAAATGTTGGCGACATCAGCATTACCAGTTTGTACAGTTATGTATGTGACATCCAATTCATGATCTGTTCTTGTTTTTATCCTAATTTTATGTGCAGTAACTCTTTCTATGAGACTTTTTTTAAAGGCCGTCCTAAAGGGCAAAGAGGTTTCACTGTTTTAGCAGAAAAGATCCTTTTTGCAGAGAAGTTTCAGATAGAATCCCATTGCATGAAGCAGACTGAATTTCCATGGGAAAGATACAGCTGAGAGAAGGGTCCGTTACCTGTGTGGGAGAAGGAGATACGTAGAATAATGCTCCTGAGAAGGTGGGAAAGGGCCGTGTTCAGAGCACTGGGGAAGAGTTTGGCTCCCCTATTCTAAGGAGAGCGAGGGTCAGATGAGTACACCTTCAAACCAGTAGGCTTAGCCTTCTGCTGTGAGTCGCCATGGAGATGGTAGTAGGGACAGAAGTCCAAGGTTTGAAGGAAGTAGAAAATACTGGACATCGATAAGTAGTTGCAGAGAGAGCATGCCATCCGGTGACATAGTAAGATGGTCTAGCAGCGTTGAAGCCTCATTGAAGTCGGTGGTCACGAACATACAGTGTGATGACCCATCGCCTGCTGACCTTCTCCGGGAGTGCTCAGCTGCTTCGGGACCAGTGTGTGCTGAAAGCCAGAGAAGGCTTCATTCAGAGTTGGGGTTTGCCAGCTCCGTGCAGCAAAACGGGGGCAGAGGTGTTTAGGGTTTGACGGTAATACCATTATAACGATGGGTCATGGAGGCACAGCTGGGTCAAGACTAAAAGCAAATAAAGAGCTGATGGGTTGGTCCATGAATAGCAGGTGGTATGTGGTCAGTGGAAGGATGGACCCGGTAGATTGAAGACCTGACTGGGAGTGATTGATACGGCACGTGGAAGAGCAGGGGAGTGTGGGCACAATGTCCAGGTATGTGGCTGAGGTGGAGCGGGACAGGTGACTTTTTTCCTAACAGCTTCCCTTGCCATCTCGGAATACCCTTTGGTTAAATATTCTGTAGCTAGAAAGGAGATAGTAGGAAATTTTTCAAAGTCAAATCTAACTCATATTTCTTACCTTAAATATGTCAGACAATAAGCCCAGGACTTAAATAGGATAATATGTTTCTTTGTTCACTCTTGTGTTTTCGCACTGTAATACGATGCACCTGAACTTTGCCAGGTGTTTGCTTGGGCTTGTGTACTCGCTGTTACCTGAGCAGACATCCATTCTTGAGTTAAGAAAGAAAAAAAATCAGTGCAGAGTTATAACTTCGAAATCAATGAAACATTTACAGGAAGTTCAAATAGAATCTCAGAGGTGACAGAACTAACTTTATTCTAAAATCTGCACAAAAGGGACTTAACCTGGCAGCAAAAAAAGTTAATGTGTTGGTTTCCTTTGGTACATTACATACAACGTATAAAAGTTTTGATTGTGAGGGTTAAGTACGATTTTTAAATGGACAAAATATATTTTGAGAATAGAATTCCTGGAGCCAAAAAGTACTGCAGAATGTAGTTGGAAAACCACTGCAGCGAACTACTAAGGATTCAAATCCAAACTTCATAACTTCTAGCTCTGTGACTCTGGGCAATTTACTTAGCCTCTCCCTTTACAGTTCCTCCTCTATAAAGTAGGGGAAATAATGGTACCCATTTCATTGAGTTATTGTGATGATTGAGTTAATCCATGTAAAACCCATAGTAGGTGCTCAGTAAAAGTTAGCTACTGTTGTATTGCTGCATTAGTTAATAATAACAGGTGTCAGAACCCCAGTTTTGAATTAAAGCTCAGAACTCGTTACTGTGAGAACTGACATGGTTATTAGGTGTTCTTGAAAATAAGAAAACATCAAAAATAAATACCATGGCCAGGCTTAGCACAGATCAAATACATTGTCTTCCTTCTTGGCTTCGTTATGTAAGCTGAACATCAATAGCCACGTCTTTCATTTTATACGATGCTTTATAGTGTTTAAAGCACTTTTACATCGCCGACTTGATTTGATTCATTAGACTTGTTATATCTGGCCAATGAATAGTCCTTTCCACATATTTCCCACATAATCAATGCTTTGCATGTGAGCTTTGTGTTAGACTCCCTTCAAGCCAAGTCTTCATTGAAGTGTTACCTATATCTTATGCTTACCTTTTGTTTCCGTAAATGAGATTAAAATTCTTCAGTGCCTGAAATTTTTGCCAGATTACAGGATCGGGAAGGAAGGAAATTTGGGTGTCACTCTGACTGTGATGTCCCTTGCTTGGTATAACCCCCTTAACCTCACTGTCACTGGTTTCTCATCCCTAAAGAGAAACTTTTTGTGAAAAATTTTTTTTTAGTTTTATCGAGTTAATTTTAACAAAATCAACAATTAAGCAGAGCTGCTTCTGTTAAATATAGATAATCTAGAGATCGCTTTATCGAAGCATCATCCTTTCCAGCAAGGGTTTCAGTGATCGTTTGGGGTTAGACCGTTCTCAATCGTCCCTGATGGATTTGCCTAGTGTTCTTTATGAAGATTTCCAAATGTTCC